AGTAAGGAAATTGGTGAATTTCAACGAGGGCAAATAATAGGATGGCATCAGTGTGGCAAGTTAAATAGAGAAATTGCTAAGTTTTCCAGGTTAATCATCAAATGGTTAATAATATTGTCAAGAAATTTAATGAAGAAGGCCATTGTTATGTGGAACAACATTCAGGAAGACCAAGTATCGTGTCTGAGTGAACGAAAAAGGTGCTGAAGTGGGGAAGTCATCAGAAACCGTCGTCAGAGCTTCAAGAATGTCGTCAACAGCATGGAAATATCGTCATATGCGGTGAGAAAGACTCTGAAAGAACTAGGCTATCAAAGAAGAGTTGCAAGAAAGAAGTTTTTGATTTCAGAGCTTAACAGGAACAGGCGCATGGACTGGGCGGGAGAATTCGAGAGCAAAGATATGAATTTTGGCAGTCTGGACAGATAAAAGTAAATTCTGTCAGTATTCGAATTCGTGACAGATTTATGTTTGGATAAATCAGAATGAGACTTGGAACATTGAATGTCTGCAGGCAACAGTGAAATATTTGTTCATTGGAGTAATGATGTGGGGGGCAGTCTGGTTTGGATTGAAATCTGAGCTGATTTTTGTTGATGAGTGGTTTAATGGTCGAAAATACTGTCAAATATTAGAGATACTACTATTTGAAACCAATCAGATTGATAAGTCATGCGACTAAAGTAGCAAAGGTCTGGAAGGAATCAAGCCACTGCCATGGGTAACCCAAAGTCCTGACATGGATCCAATAGAGCACGTTTGGGAGCACTTTGACCGAAGACCTCGAGAGCGTGCAACCAAAATCACGTCAGTGGCAACCCTTAAAGAAACATTGCTAAAGGAGTGGCAAAATATGGATCAGACGATTGTTGATAACTTGATCAAATCCATGAAAAGTCGAATACAAGCCCTGAAACTAGCAAATGGAGGACATACTCAATACTAGCTCTAAATACTGTTTATTTTTGTTGAGTAGGGATTACGTAATTAAATTTTGAAACTGGGTGTAGTTTATTTCTCCTAGCTAAAACTTTTCTTAGGCCACTCTATCTATCTATCTATCTATCTATCTATCTATCTATCTATCTATCTATCTATCTATCTATCTAAGCCTATTCGTATCTATCTATCTATCTATCTATCTATCTATCTATCTATCTATCTATCTATCTATCTAAACCTATTCATCTATCTATCTATCTATCTATCTATCTAATTCATTCATCTATTATCTATCTATCTATCTATCTATCTATCTATCTATCTATCTAAGCCTATTCGTAACTATCTATCTAAAGCCTATTCGTATCTATTCATCTGTCTAAGCCTATTCGTATCTATCTATCTATCTATCTATCTATCTATCTATCTATCTATCTAAGCCTATTCGTATCTATCTATCTATCTATCTATCTATCTAAGCCTATTCGTATCTATCTATCTATCTATCTAAGCCTATTCGTATCTATCTATCTGTCTAAGCCTATTCGTATCTATCTATCTATCTATCTATCTATCTATCTATCTATCTATCTATCTAAGCCTATTCGTATCTATCTATCTATCTATCTATCTATCTATCTATCTATTGAAGAAAACAGACACAGAATTCTAAACAGTTATCCGGGGATGAACCTCGACTTATGTTCAAAAGACCAAGCCTATCTACAAACTTTTTCTACATATTTATGTTTCAATGTAAACTCGTTCGTTGTTAATTCATTTTAATTTAATGGTAAATATTAATAACATCGATCGTCCAAGGAATCAAAATGTCAATAGTTTGGTTCAGCTGAGAATAACACAAAATATTAAAAGTTACTTTATTTTATTAAGGAGCAAATACAATTTTGGCTATGAAGGCCGCGACATAAAAAAAAACACAAAAGATAAATGAAAGAAACCTTCGTGAATGTCGTCGGAGACAAAGAGTTCGATTTTGACTCATTAGGAAAGAATGAAAAGGTAAAGACGTGATTTTGAGGTTTTGCCGGGTCTAAAGAATTTCTTTTTTAATCATTTAACCCCGAGTAAGACAATAAAGCCACTAAGAGGCAAATGATTACTGAGATTATGAGGAAAAAACACTATTAAGGAGAGAGAACAATTAAGAAGACAGAAGATATCGATTGACGTTGCATTGGAATTTTTGAAGATCAGATTAACCTGGGAAGCAAGAAGCCGGAAGAGAGTTCCACGAGAAGTATGATAGAAGACAAAGTTAGCATAGAACTTACGGTTACATTTAACCATTTCAGCTGTCAAATGATGAGACCTTGCCGCCAATTTAGTGCTGCACTTAGATTTATAAAGTCTAGGTACCATAGAGGAAAGGCCATCAGAATAATTGCCATGGCAGTATTTAGCCACACAGAAGCAACTTAAAATATTAGAAGAAAAAGAATCATCGTCTGGTATGACGCTAGAAATGATTAATTAATATTTTATTTTGTTGCGGAGCTATGCTGGACGAGTGTTTAAGTTGAAAAGCACTTGTCCCCTGGAATGTTTATCCCACAAAAAAAAAACGGACTCGCATGTGTGCCCAGGTAACAAAATACAAAGACGCAACTATAACCAATATATATATATATACAAACAAATGATAATGTATTATTAAAAAGACCAAAAAATTACATTGTTGCGAGCGACAAAGACAATGATATTATATGCATTTGACAAAACAATGGACATGCATGAAAGCATTTAAAGACTAGGTTTGGTTTCGTTTAGTTTGGTTTGGTTTGTTTTACGGCATATCAACCTCAATGGGTTATTTGATGCCGACAAATCTTTTATTGCTGGTAATATTTTCTTTCAAAATAAACTATAGTTGGTAATATCTTTTTCTAAAAATGTATTGCTGGTAATATTTTTTTTTTTTTTGCAAAGTATTTCTGATATGTATTAAAACCTATTTTTACACTTTCATAGTGTTTTGACCCCAGTTTGGGTGTCAATTATTTGCCGATAGCTGGGACCCTAACAGGTGCTACCACCCCGGGTCAGGGTGGACCTGGTTAACACCAGCAATTAAGAGTTGGTTCTACACTCCTCAAAATTCCTTGCTGTTGGATGTAGTTTATCGTCTTACCCTGGACGCGGATGTAGTTTACTGTCAAACCCAGGACGGAATTTAAAGACTAGTGACTTGTTTGTGTATTTCCTCATTCAATCTATATCTTACCGCCCCTGAGTAAAATAGGAAACGGAGAATGATAGAACATATTACGGCCTTAAGAGCGATAGGTTCCAACAAGCTGTTTTTCCCTAGCCACACCACTGCAACCCTGGCTGCAGTACATGTGGTACTCCTATGATGGTAATGGGATGCGGCTTATGAATGGATCCAATAGAGTAGGATGATCCAATCTTTTTTTTTTCTATCTTATTCTTGTTTTATTGTGGCTGGGATTCTGGCTTAAGTGACCAGGGTTCATATTGACAGTGTTGCGGGAGTAGGTTGATCGGGTGTTTAGGTAGAAAACACGTGTCTCCAGGAATGTTTATCCGACAACAACAATAGCGGACTCGGATGTGTGCCTGGGTAATAAAATACAAAGAAGCAACTAAAATTATTATACATACAAACAAAACGAGGTGGTGTAATGGTTAGCAAGCTTGTCTCGCTAAAACAGTTACAGCTGAATAGTGAGTTCGATCCTCACAGGGTGTCCCATACTTTCGGCCTTGTATCACATCTAAGCTACGTTTACAAAATGCTGTGACATCCTCCTCCTAATGAGACTATTGTGGACTCTTCTACTTACTATAAAGTTAGTAGGAAAAGTAGACCTCAGGGGAACAGTGATCTAAACTGAACGCTGTTGAACAGACACACACTCCCAAGTCGTGTAACACACTTCTATTCTATTTACTGTTCAATATGCTATTTATCGGTAACGTCTTGTTTTGTTATTTCTTAACCAATTACTTGGTCACAACACAAAATCAATATACAAACCAACGATAATGTATTAACAAGTTACATTGCTGTGGGCGACAAAGACAATGATATTGTATGTATGGGACAAAACAATAAACATACATGAAAACATTTAAAGATTAGTGAATTGTTTGCGTATGTAAAATGTGTGTAGAAGGCATGAAGGAAAATGAAGTTACGTATTTACGTGTGTGTGTGTGTGTGTGTGTGTGCGTTTCTAAATGGGAAACGTATTTTCACGATAGATTCGCATCCTAGTGTATCTAAGGAAAAAGAGAATGATAGAAAACATTACAGGGTATTTATAGTTTCAGAAAGCGTCCTCTAGTGGCTTTTTTTTATTTGTTTGTTTGTTAATAAAGTAAGTGGAGTAACTCCACTCCTGAACTAAATCTGCCGGGCGGGGAATTTTTACGTTACATTTCTGGTTATAACGAAATATAGTGAACGTCTTATAAGAGAAAATAAAAAAAAAGACGTCTGAATGACACGGAAGATAATCTAAAACCGATTTGTAAGCTAGACAGGGTTTATCGAAACGAAAAGTTCAATCTGCTGGGAACAAGAATGTATTAATACGCCTAATCTGTCATTCTTCAATGAAGCAGCGTCTCATAAAACTCGAACTTATCCAGCGGCCAACCCAAGACACCATGAACCGATTAATTCCTTCTAAGCACAGCAGTTAAAGATAATGTTGAAGATAATGCAGGAAAATAATGATTCTCTCAGCCTTTTCTATAAATACATTCATTGTAATTGTTCTGATGAGCTTTCCGATTGAAGACCAACCTTCCCCCCTATCACACCTATTGACCTTCTGCCACATTTTTGTATTAAAACAAAATAAATATTACTTTCGTCTATGTACCTAAATTTTTGTCTGCTTGGCATACCATCGTCATATGTCGAAAAAGAGGTAAAATTCAATCAAATCTAAAAAACGATGAACAAAAGTTCTAGAGGAAGAATAGAGCTACAAGAAACAATAAAACAGATAAACAGAGATAGATAGATAGATAGATAGATAGATAAAGCAAAGATGAGACTTAGCTTAGATGAGATAGATGAATAGATAGATAGATAGATGAATGATAGATAGATAGATGGATAGATAGATGGGAAAGATAGATAGATAGATGATAGATAGATAGGATAGATGGGATAGATAGATGAGACTTAGCTTTGAGATAGATAGATAGATAGATAGATAGATAGATAGAAGATAGATAGATAGATGAAGGGACTGGGATAGATAGGGAGATGGGATAGATAGATAGATGATAGATAGATAGATGTTAAGGGACTGGGATAGATAGATAGATAGATAGATGATAGATAGATAATAGATAGATAGATGAATAAAATGAAAAGATAAAAAGCAAAGAGACTTAGCTTTGAGATAGATAGATAGATAGATATGATAGATGATAGATATGATAGATGAAGGGACTGGGAAGATAGATAGATAGATAGATAGATAGATGATAGATAGATAGATAGATGATAGATGTTAAGGGACTGGGATAGATAGATGATAGATAGATAGATAGATAGATAGATAGATAAAAGCAAAGATGAGATGAGATAGAGATAGATAGATAGATAGATAGATAGATAGATAGATGATGTGAAGGGACTGGATAGATAGATAGATAGATAGATAGATAGATAGATGTTAAGGGACTGGGATAGATAGATAGATAGATAGATAGATAGATAGATAGATAGATAGATGTGAAGGGCCTGGGAAAGATAGATAGATAGATAGATAGATAGATAGATAGATAGATAGATAGATAGATAGATAGATAAAAGCAAAAGATGAGATAGCTTTGAGATAGATGAACAGATAGATGATAGATAGATAGAAATAGATAGATAGGATAGATGTGAAGGATGGGAAAGATAGATAGATAGATAGATAGATAGATAGATAGATAGATAGATAGATAGATAGATAATGAACAAATCATGATAGATATACAATTAGATAGATATATAATAAACAGATCATGGTAGATAGCCAAAAAGTAGGTATAAATGAATAGATAGATAGATAGATAGATAGATAGATAGATAGATAGATAGATAGATTGCCAGAAAACAAAGATAAATTTTAAAAATATTGATAGATACCTTTCCCAACACCATAATATAACTTTCCTGTGCCTTTTCTATAAATATTTCCAGGACAACTGCTCTGATGAGCTTTTTGCTATGGTGCCTAAACTTATGAATTTCTGTGCAGTACTAGATTAGCAGGAAGTTTTCATCATTTTACACTCGAAGTGGCTAGATGTAACCGTATGTTCTATGCCAACAGTTTCTTCTATTGCACTTCTTGCTTGTGGAACTCTTTTCGGGCTTCTTGCTTCCTAGTCAACTTTGATCTTCAAAAATTTAAATGCAATATCAATCGTTATCTTCTGTTTTTAATTCCCCATTCTTTTTATTGTTCCCTCTCCTTAATGGAGATTTTTACCTCATATTCTCTAACACTCAGTAACCCTTTGCGTCTTAGTGGCTTTATTGTCTTACTTGGTGTTAAGTGATTAAAAAGAAGCTCTTTAGATGCGACACAATCTCAAAATCACGTATTTACCTCTTTGTTCTTCCTTAATGAGCTAAAATCGAACACTTTGTCTCCGATGACATTCACGAAGGTTTCTTTCATTTATACTTCGTGTTTTTTTTTCTGTGCCGCGGCCTTCATAGCCAAGAGGGAAGCAACGCGTTATCACGAATTATTTACTTTGCAAGTTAATCACGATTATTAAAATACGAACAAGCATATGTAAATTTCGGCTGAGCCAACAGAAAAAAAACATCCTAAATCTTAATTGAAACCTTAGTAGTAAAATAAAGGACACTTGTACGTAGAATCAGAAAGAGTCAGTTGAACATTCTGAGATACACAATGAGGTAAGAAGGCTTAGAGAATTTGACATTAGCAGGACATACTGAAGGCAAGTGGAGCAGAGGGAAATATCGACCTAACTAGTATGTGTAAATATGTTACATGTCTTTTGCCCCACCCTGTAAAAGCAAGTTAGCGAATGTTACGAAAATGTTGAAAAGAGGCTGTGCTTTTCCCATGTGTCAAGAAAGCATCTTCTCTTTATCTTATAAAAAAGGTTTTAAAACCAACAAAACATTTTTGTAAAATCTTATTACCAGCAATGAATTTTTGAACAAAAAAATTATTACCAGTAATAGATTATTGAAAAACGTATTACCAGTAATAAAAATCTTGTCGGCGTTAAACAACACATTGAAGTTGATATGCCGTAAAACAAACGAAACAAAACCAAAACCAATTGCATTTGTAATATATTTTTTAAATTGTAAAGAGAATTTATGGAAATCCTTTAAATCTCCTTCCAACCCAAGAAAATATCCATTTTCAACAAACGAGCCGCTACACAGTCTTCTGATTGTGTCTTTTGAAGCGGTCTTTTAATATCCTGGTTTCAACTTTTTCCTTTACAGTCACTGGTTAGTACTTAGATGGGTGACCGCTTGGGAATACCAGGAGCCGTAATCTTGGATGTGCGGGTGGTGTAACGGGTAACGGCTCGGAATTGGAAATCGGAGAGCTGAGTTCAAATCCCCGTTGGGTTCGTTATATCCACTTACGCGCAAATACCCTTGGGAAAGGTATGAATCCACTTCTTCACATCCCCCCACAGCCAACTATGGTGTAATTATTAAGACTTGTATCTCTAAATCATTATTATCCCCCTATCCATCAAAAAAAAAAAAAAGAAATTCTTAGAATCTAAAAATATTTTCTGGCTTTAAATAACCTGCAAAGAGTTGATAAACCGTAAAAATCGAATCAACCAATCAATCTTTTACATTCATACCACCCCTGTTTCCACCACAAAAGCAAATAATAATAATGATGATAATAATAATACTACACTGTTTTATTATTTGATCTTACGAACGAAGCTAACGTAAAATTTCAAGAAGAGCACGCAGACCATAAAGTTACGTTTCAGTTGCAAACATTCAGGCTGAGAGTGTTTCTTTCGTTTCGTCGCGTTGATTACCATTACAACCGTTTTTCTCGAGACTAGCAACGTTTATAGATAGACTTGTATTTTTTTAATACTTGCATGCAATTTTTTAAACATAACTTGAAGAAAGTAGACATATTTTCAAATATCGTTAAACTTTGTTAAACACTGTCTTTTATTTTCGTAAATGGCGCACTTCTGTAATGATAATAATAATAATAAGTATGTTTCTATCGCTTTTTTAATGAATATTGGATAATAAATGTACTCAGTTGAAAAATGAATTTCTGCCGGAAACATTTGCACACACTTTTGGTCAATATTGTTTATTCTAAAAAACTCTTTGTAGAAGTATATATGTTCCATAACAAAACTCTTACCAGATGACTGATGCGGCCGTGGATTCGATCAGTGGCGTAGCTAGAGTAAACGTCACCCGGGGCGGTCCGCTCAAATGTCACCCCAATGACCCCGATTCCCCCTATGCTGAATGGTTAGCTGTAGCTAAATTTTCATACATGCTCTACCTCTACTTTACTCTACTGACCGGTACATTACTGTTTACATGTATGATCCAAGACAAAATCCAATACCACAAAATAATCAATTCAAATCAAACGCTGAAAACATTGCTATTTTTCCTACTCACAAATTTCCCGACAATTTATTAGAAAATTTCTGACGGGGGGAGGACAAAACTGGGGGGTCATGAATTATTTCTGGGGGGTCATATGCCAGTCTGCGAAACCCTGTGTCTCCACCACTGTTTTCAGACTATTTTTGGCACCTTTGTGTTACCCCTCCTGGCACCCGGAGCGGTCCTCCCCCTCGCCCCCCCCCTACGCCACTGGATTCGATGGCAAGTAATTTTCTTCTTTTTACAGGGTGGTGTTATGTCCAACGGAAAGAGAAAGCAGAGACAGCATATAACAATAAGCTACAGAAACAAATTGAAATGACCACTAAATACCACGGAGCCTTTTTATTTGGTCTAAATTGTATAACAAAACTAAAATAATTTAGAGTTTATCGAATATCTATGTAATAGAATTAAAGTTGTTTTGAGTAAGATAATAGATTCTTGTGGAGAATACATACATCACAAGAGTTGAAGTTTTTAATTACTTATCAGTTTTAATTTAAATAATGCCGACACGTATTAAATTGGCAGACAAAAACTAAAGATAAGACATTTGTCAAAACAATAACAAAAAACAGCCATAATATATATATGTATGTGTGTGTGTGTAAAAAGTTCTCAGAATTAATCCGTAGAAAAAGTCAATATGTATAAAAGAAAAAAAACGTCAATAGGAAAACTGTGTGTAGTTTTTAGCCAACGTGTTTCGTCCTATGTGGATTTTTTTCAAAGCAAAAAAAGTATCTTTTGTGGTGTATATATATATATATATATATATATATATATATATAATATTGTTATATATATAATTTATAACGAGTCTTTTTATGGTATATATATATATATATATATATATATATATATATATATATATATATATATAATTTAGGTCTTGAAAATATATTTCAATTGAGCACTGTTGAGTGATAGACTAATTCTATAAACAGCCACCTAATGCAAAGCTCTTCAGTAAAATGAATTGGAGCAGTCCGGCTGATTGTCATTTGTTTACATTCATAAAAACAATACGCTATTTCCCTCTGTCGACTGAAGATGGCTCAGTGGTAGAAACTCTGACTGACACCAAATCGGTTGGGTTTCGATCCGGGCTTGAGGCATTCGGGTGTATAATCTCATTGAGAAGCTGTGATAAAACAGCATTGTCTGCGAATGACATACTGTGTGTATATATATATATATATATATATATATATATATATATATGTGTGTGTGTGTGTGTGTAAAAGAAGAATTATAGTTTTAAGGTGTGCTATATTCATGAGATAAAGTGCTCAATATCAAGAGAGAGTACTATATAACAATAAAAACATTAATAAGTTACTCAAAAATCGAAAACAAATAGAGTAAATAAAAATATACAAAATAAAAAATAAGTAAATAAATAAAAAACAAATAAAAATTAATCCAAATAAATAAATAAATGAACAAATTATCAAATCGCCCCCGCTAAAATAACCGTTAGAACTAATAAAAATAAACATAAATAAGTAAAAACAAGTACAAATAATAAATCCTAATAAATAAATAAATTAAAAACTGTCCAAAATAACAGAACAGACTACAGTAAGCAATCTAAACACTGAACAAATAAATAGGTCTTAATTATAGTCCCAGACCAAGACTATTAAATAAGCGACCTAAGCATATCCCTCCCCAAATTCTTTTTATTACGTTAATAAAACATCAAAAACCGAAAAGAATAAATAATACAAAGTGAAAACGAAAAGGAATAAATTAACCCAAACAAATAAATAAACAAGCCACGCCCACAAAAATAACCGCCAGAATAGATTACCCACAATGCACCGCTGACCCATATATAGAAATAGTCAAGGAAAAATTCAACATTCGCGGCCTGACGATTGCGCCTCGCATGAAACAGTCTGTTGCCTCTAAGCGTTGACTTCTATAGTTCACTTATATATATATACATATATATATATATATATATATATATATATATATATATATATATATATATATATACCACAAAACCAAACGTATTGGTAAAAACAATAGGAAACCTGTCAGGCGTCCAAAGAAAAACTTAATAAAAAGAAAAACCAACAATCCATAAAACAAAACCTGAAAAGCATGGAGCCGGAAGCGAGTTCCAAAAGCGAGAAGTACGAGAAAAGAAATTTACGGCTATATCTAGCCAGCTCAAATGTAAATTGATGAGATGTTGACAGTCATTCTAGTACTACGCTTAAATTTTAAAAAGTCTAGGTACCATAGCGTCGAGGTCATCCAAGCAATTACCATCAAATTATTTATAGAAAAGACACTGAGAGGCAACGTTACGATGGTGGGAAAGTAAATGAAGCCGAGCTACCAGATCAGGACCAATAATATTGCTGATTCTTCTATCATTATGATTATGGCGAATATAAAAAGTATTAAATAGATAACATGAATGTAAAACTTAAGAATTAACGATGACTATGCTTAATCTGAGAAATCCAGACATTAAAAAAATGTCTTTTACGCACAAACGAGTTATTGCATTATATTAAACGCGACATCACTGTTACAGAACTTAACATCACAGTCAGTAACTACATCTCCCTTCATAATTGTGTGCAGTTCATGAATAAAAGTCATATGAACTTGGGAGCTTATTAAGACGTAATTCGATTTGTGCTATCACGTTTGTTTGAAAGAATTGTACTTCTATACGTGGCAACCAAAGACGATTAGGAGGAATTTGCCATACTAAAATAATTATCGAGCTAATTAGATTTGTTTTAAAATCGTCTTTTTCCCTTATCATCTGGTCGATTGGCGCTAGAAAACGTCGCATTTTTTTTTTTTGTCGGTGATTCTGTTTGACGCATGCGCAAATCGGCATTTTATTAAAGCTTTAAAACAGCCATTTTAAAATTATATATAAACATACACAAACATATTCTTACTGGGGGTTTCACTATCATGCGCTTGTGTTAGATTATGTTCAAGTACATAACAACTTTAACGGGTTCCTTACTGAAT